TAGCAATCTGTAGAACTATGCAAAAGTCAGAGACCACCCTCCATTTATTTCCAGTCCAAGCAGCCATTAATTACAATTTATTCATTTTCAGGAGATATTTCTAAGGAGATTACATGTATAATAATCCACTTGCACATAGAAGGGGAAGCTTAAAGGAAAATAAGTGAAAAAAAAAACAAAACTGGAGTTCAAAAAATATTAAAAGACAGAGAGAAAATGGGACACCTAACAACCATGTAAGACCTGGTAGACCACCAAAACCATTCAGATAAACAGTCCCTACAGCTTTCATTTTTGAGAGACAACTCAATGCTACGAGTCTGAAAAGATGTGTATCCGTCAAGAAGCTGTTACGGAAAAAAGGAAATAGACAAAACTAGAAGACTGAAACCGGACATATGAGATGTGGAATAAGGTTTTATGACCTGATGAGTCTAAATTTGTAATCAGGGTTACTTGGACTTGAAACTGTTCTCAACTTTGATATAGGGTTCTAGAAAAAAAAACTGTATTGGTGTAGAATCATTAAATTATATGAAGGTTCTTAAACAACGTAAAAGGTTGTTCACACTCACACAACTTATTTACAAATGTGGTTCAAAACCATGTAATGAAAGGTTCTTTACGGAACCAAAAGGGAGTCTTTTATGGCATTACTCCAAAGAGTGTGCACTTTATATTAAAACTCATATGATGTCAGAAACACTTTACAGGCTGTCCGCTTGGGCTTAGTGAACCTGAGTATATATGCTGGTAAAACTACTGTTAAAAAAATGGTTCTTCAAGGGTTTTTAGTAAAGACAATGGTTCTATATAGAACCATGAATACTCAAAGAACCATATGGTTCTTTGCATGGTGAAATGGTTCTTCAGATGAATGAAGAATGTGTTGTGTATGGTTCTATTTGAAAGTGGTTCTATGTAGCACCTGAAAGGGTTCTGCTATTGTACTGATGTTAAGCTTGTGATAATAGAAGATGCCTTTTTGGTGCTATATAGTACCATTTTCAAAAGGTTCCATATAGAACCATACACAACACATTCTCCATTAATCTGAAGAACGATTTTACCATGCAAAGGACCATTTAATCATGCAAATGGTTCTTTTAGTGTTCATGGTTCTATCTAGAACCTCTGTCTTTACTAAAGAAGCCTCAAAGAAGCAGGCTGTGTTATGTATTCAGATATGTTCTATATTAAAGAAGCTGATCTGAAGTGATCCTCTATCAAGTCCTGAACCTGGACAACATTTCTCCTATCCACATATGCATCTGGTACTGGTTTAGAAACACAGAGGGTGAAAGGGAAGAGAATTCCATTGTGTAATGATATATATATATATAGATACAGAGTGTAGACGATTTGGGGACAGGTTTATTTTTAGCACTTAGAAATTGCACAATGCCAGCACTACATGCCAGGACTATGAGCACTTTCCTTTGGTCTGTGGATGAAGTGTGCTTCCTAGGGTCTCTTCAAACAATTTTAACCTTGGCCTTTTAGCGCTGGACAGAGGAGACCGTTCTAGGGCAGCAGGAGCTGCACTGTTTTTTTCTCTTTCCACCTCCCCTTGTGTTTTTTTCTTTTCCACTGTAGTAGCAGCACTGCCAAGACTCGGCCCCGCTGCCTTATCCCCTCGCTCATTTTTCATTTTTATTTAAATATAGCCTTCAGTCTTCCTGCAGCTGCTCCCACAGCTTTCCCATAGCCAGGAGAACAGCACAGAGGCCAGCCTCTAAACTTGGGGGCAGGCTTTATTCCAGCTGGGCTCAAACCACCCCTTCATCTAGTTCACAGAAACAAACGTTGACAATGCACATCTCTCCAGGAATAGCCTAGTGCATCAAGTATGTCTATTATTACTGCATGAGTGCTGTACGGATTCTCCTTGGTTTGCCCCCAGCTGTTAGTCCAGAGGTAAGTAAGCAGTGGGAGAAGATGGATGGCATTACAAAAGATAAAGAAAGGCGACTCTGAACAGACACAGAATGAAGTGGCACTTCCCTACTGGAGGATCCTCAGCGATGTGGAGAGACACTAGGCGAACGCTGCTGGAGTGTGGCGCTCAGCAGGAGGGAATCAATTGAGCTGAAACATGTGCGGCTTGACCCAACGACCTTCTGCCCTGGGGCACGTCTGTGTGTGTTTTACATGTAATCGAGAAGGCTATAAGCTCGTAGGGAAGACTAACCCTAACCCAAACCTTCAAAGTTATTGTGATTCTAAGTTGTAGGCTAGAACTCAAAGCCTTTTTCAATTCTTTTTCAACTGCCTTACTGAAAACAGTGTGTACATATGTGTGTGTGTGTGTGTGTGTGTGTACTGCTTTTTTCAAATGTAAAACTAATTTAGAGTGGTGTGACATAGTTTATTGTAAAGAAACTTAATGCTCATATTTCTTTACAATAGTGGTGATTGGAAGAGAGCATTGTCTATCGAGCAATTGAGCATAACTTAAATTCCTAGCCAGTACATGACTACTAAACACAGCTCTGAACAGCTGTACACACATAAAATCATACTATTTTTCATTAAACACAAAAAGGTTTACTTAATTGCAGAAAATCTGTTTCGGCAGTGACAATTCTTAAAACTACCCTCTGATTTTAAGACTTTGGGACTCTTATACTTTAAAACAATGCATTTTTTGAATGAAGTTTTTTAATTTAAGAATTAAACTCAGGATGAACACAAACCTTTCAAATTCACTTTCACAAAATCAAAAAGATCGTTTTAAAAATAGTGTTGAAAAAAAAAGAAAAGTAATATTTTTACAAGTTGAAATTTAGGGGTTAAGGTCTGGAACAGCCACCTCCCAATAGAAAATACCCTGTAAATGATGATTCTGTATATACTTACCTTTTTTAAGATTTCTATCTCTGTTAATGCCTTGGGTTTAAATAGGTCATAACAGAATCCTTATAAATATCTAAGGTCTCAATACTTAATTGTGGGACTGCAGTGAACAAATTCAGTAGAATGGTCCATTGTTGACAATGATTAAATGGTGGGAAAATGCTAAAAAAGTTTTCTAAATTAATATTTTGCCTTACAGCACCTTCTTTGTACCTCTCCATCATGAATGGATTTAAAAAATATGTTTTAGACCTTATCTCAAAACTATCATACAACAATGTCTCATGCATCAGGAAACGTACTTGTAAACATTTCACCTAATAACTTTATGTGAGGGAGTTTCTAGAGGCAGTAAACACTTTGGGTATTTGGCTCCTGTCACCACCACTGTGAACAATTCTGACTCTGTAATGTTCTAGAACTAAGCACTTCAAATTAAACCACTCTGAATGACTTTGTGTACATCTTAATGATTAAATCATTGTAAAATTAATATGAATATCCACATTGACCACAGTAAAATAGTGTTGTCCAGTGTTGTCTATCACTATATAAAAGAAGCATGATGCTGCCTTTATCATTGGATGCACGGTGACAGTTTCTGAGCAAGTCTGCATACACTTTCAGATTTCTATAGAAACACTTTGTTTAATCACAGTAACAAAAAAGTGACTGAGATGTGAAATATATTTCTATTCTTACACTATATATCCAAAAGTTTGTAGACACCTGGTCATCCAGTGTGTCCTTTGAAATCAGTGGTGGGTCAGCTACCAAAGTTGCATGATTAGTTCTGGTTAAAAAACTCAACTCCAATTCATCCCAAAGGTATCTCAAGGAGCTCCATCACTCCAAAGCACACTTCTACTGCTCCACAGTAGAACTCTGAACATTCCATTCTGTAGCAGTGCTTTTCTATGGAGTTTATACAAGCTGGATAGTGCACATGAACACCTGTGCAGTAGCTGAATTCACCAATTAAAAGGGATGTCTGCAAACTTTTGGACATTTGCTGGCTTTTTAAAAGGTAACTTCTGACACAAACAAAATAAAAATCCACACTTTTGGCTCTGGCAGGCTATGTTCTTTATATATATCAGAATAAATTCACACAAGACATATTATTAAAAGACAACAAACGGCATCAAATGGCTTTTTTGCTGCTTTTTTGTGTTTGTAGACATTAAAGGATCATCACTGAATGATAGGCTTGTAATTTAAGGAGTTAATGTTGACTCATTATGCCACAGGGTGGATAGAGACTTGGTCTGTGTGTTTACAAGTTGCTGGATGATCAAAGATGAAACTAAAATAGTTGATGTGAGCTTGATGTGTCAGACGCATTTCCTTCCTGTGCAAAGCTCTGCATGGCGGAAAAACAGCTCCAGCAGGCCAAGATAAGTCATCAGTGTGCACACTTCGCCGTGTGAACCTCGCAACTGTACTGGCAAACAGTGACTCAAGCACAGATTTCATTCAAATCTGGACAAATTTATTGATCTTCAAATCATTATTTCTGCATATGTATACAGTGAAAGTCAGAGACCATGTTTTGTTGATTTAATTTCTAGTCAAAACAACCATTAAGTACAAATTACTCATGTTTCAGTGTCAGGGAAAAAGCAGAAAACATATATTTAACATAAAATTACACGGAAGCCCAACAACTAAATATATATATTTTTTTTGCATATACTGTGCCCACTCTTTGCTTTGATTACAGCTTCCATTCTTTTCAGCAGACCTGCTCTCAGTTTTTCAAAGAAATCTGCAGTGATATTTTTCCACACCCCCAAAGTTCAGTCTTAGTTGGTTGTATCTCCCGAAGTAATCCCAAACACATTCATTGAGGTTGAGGTCTGGACTCCAGGGTGGTCAGTTCATTGTTCTGAGAACATCAGCAGCTTCTTTGTTTGATCTGGAAATATTCTTCTTTTTTGTTGATTTTCTTTCTTCAGTAATGGCTTCTTGACAGCTACACATCCTTTCAGACTCATCGTGCTGAGTTGTCTCCTCACAGTGGAAGGACGGACAGAAACTCCTGTGGATTAATTCAGATCTGAAGTAAGAGTGGAGCTTGATTTTCTCCTCTCTCTCAAAGATGAAAGCTTTAAGTGCTGTTTATCTGATGGTGACAGTTCAGGTCTTGCACAGTTGTTAGGAGTCCCATTTTGTTTTTTTTAACTTTAGTTTTGGAAACTCCTGAAGAGATTAAATGTAATCTATTGAGAATTATCTCCTGAACTTGTGCTTAATGACCGTTATGACTGGAAATGAAAGAAAGGGTGGTCTCTGACTTGTGCACAGTACTATATGTGTATGTATACTATATGCTGTATGATTACAGAATTTGCATTACTCAAATGCCATAATAATGCCATCTGTCTTAATCCACAGCACAACTCTAACAGGCCTGACTACTGTGTACTATGAGAGACATTTTTACCATCACCTGTTTTTCACCCTCTGATTCATTATAGAAAACTGATTGAGAAACGAAATGTTAAAATATTTATTTTTTTATGTTGTGAGCTCCTCCTAAACAAGAAGAGGGCCAACCAGATTTTCTCATGTAATTGCCTAGGTGGTGCTAGTGAGCACAGCACTGAGCTTTAGGAGCAGTACAAAGCTGCAGCCCTCACAGTTTCAAGCTCACACTCAAGGATAACAGGTAAGAGGACTGTTCATAACTTATCATCAAGCCTTCCAGGACTGTATCATTATGAGCACACAAATTCCTGCTTTATGTACCGGGGTAAGTTCATCCATTCTCATTACCGTTTTCTGACGAAGACAACCTGCCTCAAGTAGTATTTAATAGCATTATCTGCTGATTTGGTATTCAAGTGCAATAAGAGAAATGTAAAAGAGGATGATGTCATAGTCTGAGATGTATTCAGGAGTAATGACCAGGGTCAGTTTTTTTCATTTTTGTAGGACATTGGTTTGTCATTATTTTAAAGTGCTAGAACACTTTACAGTTCTGTTACAGAAAGGTATAACTGTCAAAAGATATAATGATATTAAATAATTTCATTTTTGTGCACAGCATCTTAGTATTAACGGATGATGGGCAGGATCTGTAATTTGAAGACCTTTGGCTCCAATGCATAGAAACATTTAATGCAAGCAAGAGCATCACAATCCAGTTGAATTCACCAAAAATAGCATTGCTTGTGAGTGAGCTTTGTGTGATGATTGGCATGGCAGTGAGCTAGACCTTCAGCACCTATAAATTCACTGCATATCTCTCTCTCTGTCTCTCTCTCTCTATCTCTCATAACACTCACACATTAACAGTATCACACATGCACAGAGTCTCTGTGAGACACGCTGACAGAGAGAGAGACAGAAAGAGAGAGAGAGCTTGTCTTGTGTATATAAGTTATCCATGGAGCCTCATACCCTCAGACTTGCTTTGCTCCAGCTCCACACAGTGGAAGGGATTGGGAATGTCCTGACATAACATGCATTTAGCAATCACCCACAGTGTTTATCATTGTCTGGCATACTGTTGCCCTGTATTTGTCAAATTCCTTTCAGGTTCAAGTTTAGTGTTACTTTTGTTTTGTATCCAAAAATATTTCCCCAGACTAATAAAGTGGACAATGATTGTAAATCAAAGTTTGATACGGCACTCCAAACACCTTCTCTGGCATGGGTCATAACTGGAGCATATATACTCATAGGCCACTTTATGAGAAACACCTACACTTTAGGAAAAAACAGTACTCTGCAGGTACATTTTTGTTCACCAAGGTACAAACAATGTAAACAATGTCCAAATGTGTGCCTATGTGTGTGTATATGTATATCGTTGCTGTCGGAACAAAACCTTGTGTCTCTACTTTTGTCGTTTTTCAGTTTTCATAATTTGAAAATGCCTGCTGTCCTTTACATTATGTGCAAATCTCATGATGAATGGACCAAAAGAAACGGCCCAAAATGACCCGGAAAAATGTCTGGCTCCCTTGACTTACATTAAAAGTAAAGTATGTTTTTTTCTTGTCCTGTAAAGTTAACATTTTGGAGATACAAGGTTTTGTTCTGACAGCAGCAATATATATGTATATGTATGTATGTATGAAAAATCAGAACCTGTCCAATTACGAATGGGGTAGAGGTTGACTGACAAATTGTGCAGCAACAGATGGGCTATGGTATGAAATTGTACACCTGTATAGTGGACCTATAAAGTAGGTAAGACTCAGAGAGTAGCCAGTAAGTGTAAGGATAAGGTAAGTGTTACTAATAAAGTGGCCATTGAATGTAGGCCTACATGTATCATAATTTCACTGTAATAGCAGTGTTGAAATTTCATAAAGGAAGCTAAAAGTGGGTTATGCCATTCTGGTGACCCTTAGAAATCTTCCATCTTACTCAGGTTGGCTATTTATAGAAGAAAAGTTCAGAACAAGATCAAAAGCAATTGACAGGGAAAAATGGGCGTTTTTACTAGCAGCAATCTGAAAAGGAAATTGCAGGCAATTGCACTGTAATTACGGCTAGTAGGGACATTCCATTTTGCCTTTTAATGTCCCATAAGCAGTGGGCTTCACACTTTCTGCATAGGCACTTGCAATAATCTGCACAAATCAGAATGTTTGTTATTAGCTCCATTCTCTGTCATGTGCTTTAGAGGAAGAGAGACAGTTGATAAATAAGTACGTAATGTATCAATGAGTGGCTTTAAAACACTTAAAACACTTACAGTATCTGCCATAAAGTTTCACTATACTCTAAAGCTCTGTTGTCCTGTATTAAATGTTTGTCATGTAGTGGATTGTATAATAGCTTTGTGTTTGAAGGAAGGTGTTTAATGTTTAATCGTTGTTATGTGTAATGTGGATTAGATAAGTGTCCTTCTTGTACTTATAACTGTTGTTAAATTGCACTTCCGATCCAAGAGTGAGGTTGCCAAAAGGATTCTAATGACTCTTTATGCCATTATGGGGATATTTTTACTGTAATGCATTTGGAAAACTCAATCCAGACTGTGAAAAATAAAATCTGAATGTACTGTACAATCAAGTGGAATATGTGTCTACTTTCAGTGCTACTCACATTTATTTCAAACAAGAAAAATGATCTGCCAGTGTAGCAAGATCATTTCTCATCTCATACTGAGAAATATAAGATATATTTCCTACATTTAAAGGAAAGCTTCTGCAAACAATCAAATTTACACAATTTTCTACTTACCCCAGATGTAGATCAGTCAAGACATGGTGTCCAGCGTGTCTTTAGTTTAGTGCTGGAGCTATGAGGCTAGCATTGCAAACAAACACTAGAAGTCAATAGTCACCCAAATCATTTCCATAAATGCCTGTGTGACATATAAAGTGGAGTATAATTTTGCACAACTTTTGTTATCTAAAATGTCCATTCTTCAATGTTCAGCTACACTGTGATGTTCATTTTTATACTTCACAGTAAGTCATATTGTGCTCTGACCCACACAAACAAGGCTGCACAGTCTTAATGAACATTGGAAGCAGACTGAGCAAGTTGAGAGAATTTTGAGGATGTATTTATGGAAAAGATTTGGGTGACTACTGACTTCTAGTGTTTGTTAGCTACATTACCTTGTAGCTGCAGTGCTGAACTTAAGCAAAATTTGGACACCAAACTTGGCTGTTTGACTGCATCTGAATTAGAATTTTTGCCAAACCATTCTGTTAAAATCCTTTCATTTGCCAAGATATTTTTGTAGTGTATGTCTGCAAGTGACTAACTGTGCCTGTCTCCTTGTAATGCAGTATCAGTGATGTAGTGGCAATGGAGAGAAATCATTGTTTGCTTGCTATACTGCTAGCAGCTTCGCATGGTTGCACTCAACTACAGGGCTAACAACACAGCCCCACTGGTCTGGGGGTTCGAGTGACACTACACATGTTGCCACTCTTCCCTGCAGTTACTGCAGTCATGCGAAGTGAAACTAACAGGGCGTTGACCTCCTAACCATGATTGCCATCGCAGTGGAAGACTGTGTGTGTAACTAAATGACTGCTGAGCCATGTATAAAGAGAGAACACCCATTTCGTCTCACTTCCCAAATGTAGTAGGATTACAGAGCATGGCTGACCGTCTCTCTGACCCCACACCCTTTGACAGAAACCACCAAAAGAAATTCTCTGAGCATGTCAGAAACAATCACTACAGGTAGGGCTGGGTGATATGGCAAAAATATTATATTGCGATACTTGTCATTGTCATGATACACAAAGTTAAAACAGACAAAATAAAACCTGTATTGCTGCAGATAAAAATACTATAATAGTAATAATAAACCTATAACTATGTTGATTTTTTTTTATTTAGCGTTTTACAAACTGCACTGCACTGCACTATATCCACTTTAACAGGCCTAATTATGCTCATTTTGTAATTAATTAAGTACTGATGCTATCCGTGATATGCTCAGAAAAGCATATAGTGACAGAATTTATCATGATAATAACAACATATCGTCATATTGCCCACCCCCAACTGCAAGTCATTTTGGCTAGTTAAGCTAACCGCAAAGAATTAGCTGTCAAACAAAAGGTTCCACCTAGCAAAGCAATACACAGTTTCACTGTATAAGGGTCTATTAATGAAAACAAATCAATTATTGACCTCCTTGTTCTCCTGCTGTTACAGTGATCTGACCCTTAGTAGCTTGTAACAGCATATAATTGGTTTATGTAAGGCACTACCAATGAATCTTACATCATGCTATCCCATTTCCTGTTCTAAAGGCAGCATAAGGAAGCACAGGGGAGTGATGGCAATGGAGCCGAACTGCTATTCACGGGGGAAATGATGCTGACTGCTGCCACGGAAACCAGCACCAACAGTTGCCTCACAACAGTGCTGTGCGGAGTAGCATTTTATCCAAGCACAGGCTGTTCTTGGCAATCAGCAAACGTGCTGGACTGATGTTTTGGTATCAAAGGTCAGTGGGGTGGGTAAACCAGTTTAAGGCTGATTTAGTGAGACAATCCATTTCGTTCCACCAGTTACAGCTGAAGGAAAATCAATATGTAGCATATGGCAGCATCAGGCTTTCCACAGCCCAACTACAGCTGAGGCAGAGGCAAAGCATACCGTCTTTTAGGAATGGGCAATATTACAAAACACTATGATTATCGTGACATGCTTTTCTGAATGTATGATGTACAATATCAGTACTTCAACACTGAACAACTGCATGTATAAAAACACCAATTAGCTCAATTACAGAGAGCTAATAAACAATAAGTAGGGAGTATTAACTGCAAAAACTGCCTAAGTAACTAATTATGCCATTTACTTGCCATACTTTGTATAATTTTCCTCCTGTGTTGTGTTCAAAAACATCAGAAAATATAAATATTGTGATACACATCAGGTATGATGAATAAACTGTCAAGTATCATGATGTTATATTTTTTGCCATATCAGCCACTCTTACCCTAAAATCTGTTCTTAGTATACTCACACACTCCCCTCCCTCCAAATTTCTTCTGCTCCACATCTAAAGCCACCACCTACTCGACTCTAATATTCAGAGTTCCCTGACTGTGGATCTCCTCACACTCGGGGTTCCCACCTGACTGGGCTTGAGCGCTGTGGACTGCAGATTGGATTACTGCTTATCCGCATCAGAAGCTGCAGCTTCCCAGCAAAGCCTCTGGGCCTCGGGGCACTTTTCAAGTGAATTCACCAGCAGCTCCCCTCAGAGAGTAATGGAACAGTGGAGGAATATTCAGCCTACATAATCCTCTCTCCCTTAGTCTCCCTGCCAATAACTCTGACATCTCAACTAGCCCATACCCCAAACAGATAGAGTAGGGGATAAGAGAACAGCAGAGTGGCTTGTAGACACACTTTAACATTTTCAGAAGTAGGGCTGGAAAATCAGAGTTCATTCCACTGACTCACTACAGAACCAGTGTAACAGTGACTGAAGTTAAATCATGCCACGACCACTGAATCCAACACAAGCTAGTGCTACACTCTAAAGCAGGTGTTTATTTTTATTGTAGAGGGCCTTCCTGGGCATGTCACTGACTAAAAATGCCAATGAGTTAAAGGAATACAATAAATTGAGAGATGGACAGCGTTAATATATATCAAAAAATCATTTCATTCAGTTTTTCTTTGTTTGTTTATGTTTGAACATTGACCAATAAAAACTGTAAAAAAAAGAGTTGTAATAAAAGTCATTATTTTAACATAAGTATGTCTTTTCTTTCTTCTGTCACTTCAGAGATGCAAAGCATCAACAGCAATGAGATACACTTTTATTTTGCATTTAATACCTATTCATATGAAACAGTTCTGTATGAAACAGAAGTTTGATGTGATGATGTGCTAACTGTTCTCTGATGATTAATGTAAGGTGACTGGAACTGACACCAGTAAATACAGAACATGTACTGTATACACAGCAAATTCCCCACTGTTGAATTAACATGCACAGTGTTTATATAATCCAGCTGGACATCAGTGAACACTGTAAGAATGAATTCAGTACTGTAGATGTTAATTCAAGACTGTAGGTCGACTGGGAATTTGCTGTGTATAGCCTTTAATACACTCATTGGCTACTATATTAGAAACTCCTGTTTTGTAGTTCCATCTAGGTGATATTTGTGCTCAATTTGTATTAGCCATCCTCTAGCCATGTAGTCTCCAACCTTCCTGGACCCTGGAGGTCTACTTTCCTGCACAGTTTATTTCCAACTTGCATCTAACATGCTGCTCCCCCCTTACCTAACTCTAATGCAACTGATTCAGCCAATCAATGACATTTGGGGTTAATTAGCTGGAGCAGGTGTGGCAGACTGTGGCTGAAACTAGACTCTGCAGGAAGACAGATCTCCAGGGCAAGGATTGGCGACCACTGCATACCTCACAATTGACTGGCTAACCTTAATTAATATAAAACTGACATCATACCACAGTGGGCAAAGGAGTCCTACCCTTTACTGCATTCGGTGTAGAGTGAGAATGCAAAACAACAGCACGTTTGCACTTGACAGTCTTATATTTTGTAAAAAATCTCTGGCATTGGAGATCCCAGCTCCCCCCAAATACAAATGCTGTATTTGTGCTGCAGACATCACAACTAGGGATTTGAGTCAGTAAGTTTCTTTACAATACACTATTTCACATCAAACCACATTGACTTTTGTATCTTGGCATATTAATTATGCAGAAATTAAAAAAGTGTAATTCTCCTTAAAGATTAGGGTCAGGATTACATTCTGAGTTGAGGTTAAAGTTAGGGTTAGAGTGAGTGTTAGATTTAGGGTTAAGAGAAGGTGATGCTAATAGATGTTTAACTGAATGTCATTTAGTGACAAGCAAATGTACTTTTTGTTTAGCTTGTCTTGGCCATTTGACTACTACAAAGTCTTGTTCTAGACTCTGACTAAATGTTTTCACAGTAGTCAAACTTCTGCAAAGAATCTACAATCTACCATCCAAAAGATCAACCACTAAAGGTAATGCAAAACAGTGGCTGTGTGGGTTGAAAAAGCCCTTCACTTCAGCTGGAGGTCAGTGTTTCCAGTACAGCATCACACAGAAATGATGTAAGCCACAGCACGGAGCTACAGGCCTGTTTCACTGGTCGTGCTTCTCGTTGGGCACAGATAAAGGTGCTTTGTTTGCCCTACTTCCTCTGCTCTGCTACATGACTGGAACATTGTTCCTCTGCCATAGTGTTGGCTCATTTGAAGGGAAACTGAGTCGCCCTTTGTGGACCTGACCTAAGAGCCACGTGAGAGAGAGAAAATCAATATATTTCGACTGTTGTATCACAACAGGCGAAAACCCATTGTTCAGCTTCATTGTAAAGGCAGTTTGCAGTCACAGACATTTTTTCCATTAATTGTTAACAATTAATCATGCATGGTGTTGATATAGATTGGTGGAGATTTTTAAATCTGAAACGCTAAGAGGTTTTGCGGATGTGGATTAAACCTAGTCTTGGAGTAAACTCCCAATGCCAATGATGTTGCACCATTAAAATTCTATTTAGTCATAAGCCAAGGCTTAATCTAGATCTGGGAAACCAGCCCAAAATACATGTACTCACATGTACATAAGAAACAAGTGTTGTAATCAAGACCACTAAAGGCAAGACCAAGTCACAGATACATTGAGTCAGAGTCTAGAACCAGACTTAGTAGTTGAGTAGTAGTTGAGTCCGAATCAAGACCAAGACAAGATTAAAAAAAGCTTATGGTTCATTTTAGATTCATTTATTCATTCATTACATGATAGATACCATAACTGAATAGTTCAACTTGGTTAAACTTTAGTTCAGCTCTACAATCTGACTTTGTGAAGCAAATGATGGTAAATAACAGTAGTGATGCTTTTCTCCTGTTAGCCAATCTGAATGAAGATTTCAATGTTGCTGTTTTGATGCTGATATATTGTATTGATGATGTATTGGTGGTAAATGTTCAAGGTAGCAATGTTTGCATACAACCACAGTATTAAAAAAAACTTAAAAACAGGCCTAGGCTAAACTTCAGTTAGCTTACTAAGTGATGCGTATTATTAAATGTAATATATTAAAAGCACATATTAGGCTATTGCAAGCTTGTTTTATACCAGAAGCCACGCAGCATGATAAGAAATGGAAAGGTTTCTTCTGGGGGTGGGCAATATTGCAAAAATATCATATTGCATTCCTTAGGACAGTTTCATGATATATGATATATAATATGATAGTTTGACACACAGATACAATGAACAATGCACTGTGTGAGCAACACTTAAAAACTGCCATCAAAAACTATTAGTACAATGATTTTTATTGAGTGTTTCACACACTGCACTGCACTAAGTCCAATGAAACAGCACTTATTATGCTGTTTTTGTAATGAAACATGCAGTTGGTCAGTGTTCTCTAGGTACTGAAGATGTCCATCATATGCTCAGAAATGTGTGTTGTGAATTTACTACATGCTTCTAGAGACAAATACACTTGAAGGTTAATACTGAAATTTGTGTATGTGTGCCTGTTGTTGCAGTGTGCTGAGTGTGGCTGGTATGAAGGGTCAGCAACAATGATTAAACTTTGCAGCCAGTCTTGTTCTGGTTTCACTTTACATAGCTGTGCTCTCACAGAGAAAAAATGAAAATAAAGGAGGTCTTGCACTTGAACTTGACTGGTCTCAAGAAAACTTCCTCCTCCGCCTCACCACAAGGCCTAGTCAAGACTGAGTTAAAATGAGGTCAAGAATAAAACGAGACTGAGACATCCATATGCGGTCTCAAGAGCAGACTTGAGAGCTATGACACTTATTATTATTAGTTCTTATAGTGATAAGAAACAACATAAACGTCAGGATTATTAACACTTTAGCCTCTAAACAAGCCATAGGCCTGCAAGCGGGCCCAAAAATGATTACACACTTCTACAACCTAAGAATAGCTCCACTAGTTTGCATTGAAGTGCCTGTATGTATGTATGTATGTATGTATGTATGGAAGTCTTTTAGGGAGTTTTAGGAGTTTTAGGGATTAAATATTGTTGCTGTCCAAAAATGTAACACGTATCTCCAAAATGTTATCTATACAGGAGAAGGTAAAAACTTTCTTTACTTTTAATGCAAGTCAATGTAAAGAAATTTCATTCCAAGCTATTTTAGAGCACTTCTGTTGGTCCATTCATTATAAAATTGTCACACAATGTAATGCTGTGCTAAAACAATGGATTTTTTTTTGGATAGTGAATATATGCACATTGTTAAATGTTAGTTTAAAGATACTTAGCTATTTTAATACACAGGGAAAAGGCATAGTATAGATGTGGAAAAGCTCTTCTGTTTGTGAGCTCGAGCTCCTATCAGTCTTACAGCTGTGTTTGTATCTATCTCTGATCAGTCTCTGGAGCTTCGGCACTCATTGACGGCTTCTTAGAAAACATAGACTTCTTAGAAGGACAGTGACTCTGTGGGGCACCTCTGCAGTTCAGAGAACAAAACATGGACGACCTTCACCATCTTTATCTACACGCCACACAGCTGTCCTACAGCACACACATGAACTACATGGAAGCTAGCAACTCTTACACAGCTTCACAACTGTCAGAGCAAACACATGAAAAACAGTTGGTGGTAAAGAGGCCTGGTCTGACCTGAGGTTAGATTTACTCTGGAATAAGGAAGCAGATCAAATATGCAGAACTAATTTACACCCTGCTATTTTCAGCACTCTTCAGTTCTGGTTGATTAAGAGTGAGACTATTTCAAAGTCAATTTTTGAGATTATGCATGCAAATATAGGTGCGCTTTGCGGGTAGAAAATGTTTAAGGACTACTACACCAAAAACAAAAGATTTGTATCTGCTTTACACTGCTGTTATGAGTAGCTCGGAAGTGAGTTTTAACATACTTTCTTTAAAAAGGGGGATATGAAATGCATTTTGTTACTGTGTTGTAGTCTATCTACCATGATTTATTCTTCCAGAGCCACTTCTTGCATCACCCAATTTATCCAACACATTAGGAGACACTAGAGACATGGCAGTGACCGTCACCAGAAGGGTCAGGCTTTTACATGGGATGATTACACTGATATAAACAATCAACAGTGCTGAAACAAGCCAGAGGCTTAAGTAGCATCGTTGTGTTTTTTCACTCATGCTGATATATGAGAAGATTGATAGATTCCATTAATGTACTCTGAGATACTTCTCCGATCTCCCCAGAAGAAACGTTTTTAGAGGCGAGCTTTTAGCTAATGTATCATAATGGGGCGATGGCCATGTCTGAACCTGATACTGTCTTCAGTGTTCAAGCAGTCCATTACCAGTAAAGTGATTTGCAGTACAAGATCTACAAAAAGTAAAAGGCTTGTACATACAATGTACATGAAAGATGCATGATGCAAGTGTTTTTTTCACATCAGTGCTTTCATAATCGATAATAGATTTCATCATAATTGTGCAGTTTTAACACAGTGATGTATCTGAGTGTAAATATTTGGTGACTAAAAGGAAAACTGTGTGGTGGTAACAGCATGCTAATAGCTGAATGCAATCAAATATTTCAGGAGAAGATAATCCACTTGCATAAAGAAAGAGAAAGTTAAAGGAAAATAAGTGAAAACACAGGAATTTGCAACAACGTGTAAATGCATATATAAGTGTTTACATATTTTTGTTATAGGGCAGTTTATGTTTCACTGCTGAGCGGATTCCACTGAAACAGCCAT